CCATGAGAGACGATGGACTCTGAGAAACAAACAGAGGGTTCTGGAGGGGAGGGGGTTGGGGGGATGGGTTAGCCTGGTAATGGGTATTAAAGAGGGCACATATTGAATGGAATACTGGGTGTTATACGCAAACAATGAATCATGGATCAATACATCAAAAACTAATGATATAATGTATGGTGATTAACAAAACATAATAATAAAAAAAAGAACTACCCTATGATCCAATAATTACACTACTGGGTATTTATCCAAAGAATACAAAAACACTAATTCAAAGGGATACATGGACCCTTACATTTATAGCAGCATTATTACAAGAGCAAAACTGTGGAACCAGCCCAAGTGTCCCTCGATAGATGCATGGATAAAGAAGATATGGTATATATGTGGGGTATATATAATGAAATATTACTCATCCATATAAAAGAATGAAATCTTGCCATTTGCAATGATCTGTATAGAGCTAGAAAGTATTATCCTAAATGAAATGTTACTCAGAGAAAGACAAAGACCATATGATTTCACTCATATGTAGAATTTAAGAAACGAAACAATCCAGCAAAGGGGAAAAGAGAGAGATAGAGAAACCAAGTAACAGTCTCTTAACTATAGGGAATAAACTGATGGTTACCAGAGGGGAGGTAGGTGCTGGAATGGATAAAATAGGTGATGGGGATTAAGGAGTACATTTGTTCTGATGAGCACCAAGTGTTGCATGTAAGTGTTGAATCACTACATTGTACGCCTGAAACTAATATATTAACTAATATAACTTTATATTAACTATTTTGGAATTAAAATAAAAGCCTAATAAATAAAAGAATACTTTATTGCTTAAAAAGGCTAACAATCATCTGAGATTTCAGCAAGTCATAATCCTTATGCTGGAGGAGGGTCTGGCCTTATTGTTAATGGCTGCTAACTGATCAGGGTAGTGGCTGCTGAAGGTTGGGCTAGCTATGGCAATTTCTTAAAATAAGACAGTAATGAAGTTTGCTGCATTGACTGACTTCTCCTTTCACATGCCATTTCTGTTTAACATGGAATGCTGTTTGATGGTATTTTACCCACAGTAGAACTTTCAAAATTGGAGTTGATACTCTCAAATCCTACCACTGCTTTATCAACTAAGTGTAGATAATATTCAAAATCCTTTGTTGTCATTTCAACAGTCTTTATAGCATCTTAACTAGGAGTAGATTCCATCTCAAGAAACCACTTTCTTTGCTCATCCATAAGAAGCAACTCCTCATCTGTGAAGTTCTCTCATGAGATTGCAGCAATCAAGTCACTTCTAATTCTATTAAGAAGCTAAGGATATACCTCAGTACTGACCTTCACTTTCATCCAAGGAAGAAGTATAAAAAACTGTTCTTTCCCGCAGCAAGCGTTTTGAAATTGTGATTGGTTTGTGCCTTCTTGCTGTCACTCGAGGTGGAGGCACTGGGGGTGTGGCACTTTCCTCAGGTGGACCTGAATAGATCTGTAAAAGGAGAATATTTTCAGGAAACAATTAGAAAGATCGAGTTTTTGTCCCCCTAATGCTAACTACCAGTTGATGCCTACCAGCACTACATCTAGAGTCTGACAGAGCAATTCTAATATGACTAAAGGAATTGGGATTTTTAAAATCACTCTAGCTACCGGCAAGTGTTTAGAAGTCTCCTATCATGTTTAAGACACAGGACCTGGCACTTCACAGTGTGGAGGAAAGAATGCAGACAAAAACTGCACAATCAGTTCTGGATTTCCACTTACTGCCTGGAAAACCTTAGGCAAGTCACCTCCTATCTCTGAGCTTTAGATTCCTCATCTGTAATATGGGGAGAGCACCATGTACCTCACAGGGTGTGATGAGAATCAAGTGAAATGGGTAGTCAAGGTACCTACTGTATGGGTAGGAGTGGGGTGTGGAGGGTTACTAAAATGCACCCAATATTTCTGAAAGGATACTAAAGAAATTGGTTAAATTGTTTGCTTCAAGACAGGAATAATGAGTGGCTGAGGAAAGGATGGAGGAAACTTATTTCTCACTCCTTTATCATTTTGATCTTTTAAAATTTCATACCATGTAGCATTACTTAGTCAAAAAAGAAAGGGCAAAAACAAAATGTTTTATACGTTGTAAAAAGTGCTGGACAAATGAGGGAGAAGCTATCATTACAAAATTTTTTTAAGCAGGGTCCATGCTCAGCACAGAGCCCAACATGGGGCTTGAACTCACGACCCTGATTTCAAGACCCAAACCGAGATCAAGAGTCAGATGCCTAACTGACTGAACCAACCAGGCACTCCTAATGATTACAATTTTTATATAGTGTCATATGTATTGGAAAATCTTTCTTGTCTCTGGGGGAGACTGAGCTTTTGGCCAGAGTGCACACATTTTGGGAGGACACACACATGGTGAGGGAAGAAGGGGACAATTGTGTAGTGCAAAAATGAAATCAACCCTGATGATGAGTGCAAAGAGAAATGCCAGAGACCAGTATCAGGCTGCAAGGTCACAAAAATTACATGACTGGGAACACAAGGAAACCTTGTGTAAAAGCTGAACAATGATAGAAAGCAGGGTATGTCTCAATGTCTCATGGCATAGGAAAGAGAGAATATGACATAGTAGCAAGCAGATAAACTTTGAGGCCATAGAGTTTCACAACCTATAGTAATAATATTCTAAATAACTACCACTTTGTGAGCATATGTTTATGCACTATAGGAGTTAAGAATATCCCTTGCTATTTATCAAACACACCAGGGCCTATGCACTGAGTGTTTCATCTGCCTGGAGTGCTCTTCCTCCAGATATCCATATAGCTTGCTCTCTTAATTTCAGTAGGCTATGATCAAATTTATTCCTCTCAGTGAGTCTTCCAAGTGAATGTATCTAAAATTTTTATATACCTCCCTGTATGCAATGCCTCCTATCTCCCTTCCTTTTTTTTCTCCTTAGCATTTCTTATTACTTCCTAACAAGATATATTGTAATTATTTATTTTTTTGTTTTTGTGTCTGCTACTCTAATCTATTGTAAACTACATGGAAGTACATTATCATGTTCACTGTTATATCTCCAGCAACTAGAAGACTGACTGGAATTGCTGGGTCAAAGAAAAACACATTTAAAATACTGAAATAAAAGGCCAAACTGTCCTCTGAAAAGATTATAATAGCTACTTCCACTTCTAGCCAAGATAGGACTAAAGGTATTAGGTTTACATCTTCTGCAAGTAATAATTTAAAAACTAGAAAAAATACACATAACAATGGGTTTCAAGGCACTGGAAATCTGGTAATGAAAGATGGTGATCCATGAGAGACAGGAAAAAGAAATGAGGTGAGCCTCATGATATTCCCAGCGTACAGTGTGGAGAGAGTCTGCAAGCCATAATATATGGAGGGAAGCTCAGGGGGAGCCCATCAGTCTGCTTAAGTTGAAGATATTGAGTTGCAAGTATGGAGAGGGCAAGAAAGATAATTTTTCAGGGCAAAATATCAGAGAGAAGATAGCTGCACAAAGGGCTCTGGAGAACTGCAGGGGGGTCCTCTTTAACACTTTAGCTGAGTAGTGATTAATACTTACGTGTGAGGAAAGAACCACAAAATTGAATTAAAGGGATTAATTACCTAAGATCATACAGTGCCTAGAAGAGTTCCTGTTTCACCAGCCACAGTGGAAAATCAAATAATTAAGTGCTGTGGGTGGTGGGCACTGCACATGTGGAGCTGCCTGGCTAGCTCCAGCAGCATGAAGGCTGAGTTGCGACTTGGGTGTCGTCTTTCTGTCTTAAAGTGGGTGTTTATCAGTATAAAATTCCCTCTTAAAACTGCTTTGCTGCATTCCATAAGGTTGATACACTGTTTTTCCATTTTCATTTGTTTCAAAATATTTCTTTATTTCCCTTTTGATTTATTCCTTGACCCACTAGTTGTTCAAGAGTGGGTTGTTTACCACATATTTGTGAATTTCCAGTTTTTCTCCTGTTATTAATGCCTAGTTTCATATCATTCTGGTCAGAAAAGATACTTGGTATGATTTCAATCTTCACACATTTGCTAAGGCTTGTTTTGTGACCTAGCATATGATCTATGTTTTAGGAAGTTCCATGTGCACTTGAGAAGAATGTTGGATGCAGTGTTCTATAAATGTTTGTTAGGTTCATTTGGTCTGAGGTTTAGTTCAAGTCCAATATTTATTGATTCTCTGTCTGGATGGTCTATATGCATTGTTGAATGTGGGGTATCAAATTCCCCTACTATTATTTTTTGTTGTCTATTTCTCCTTTCAGATCTTAATTTATTTACTTAATATATTTTAGTGCTCTAATGTTGGGTGCATATATACTTGTAATTGTTACATCCTCTTGAAAAATAGACTACTTTATCATTATACAATGACCTTCTTTGTCTCTTGTTACAGTCTTTGGCTTAAAGTTTACTTTATCTCATATAAGTAAGCTATCCCTGCTTTCTTTTTTTTTTTTTAGGATTTTTTTTATTTAATTATTTGACAGAGAGAGACACAGCGAGAGAGGGAACACAAGCAGGGGGAGTGGGAGAGGGAGAAGCAGGCTCCCCGCTGAGCAGGGAGCCTGATGCGGGGCTCGATCCCAGGACCCTGGGATCATGACCTGAGCCGAAGGCAGTCGCTTAACCAACTGAGCCACCCTGGCGCCCCTATCCCTGCTTTCTTTTGGTTTCCATTTGCATGGTATTATCTTTTTCCATCCCTTTATTTTGAGCCTATGTGTGCCCTTAAAGCTGAGGTGAGTTGCTCTTAGGCAGCATATTACTGGGTCTTATTTTTAATCTATTTGGCATTCTACGCCTTTTGATTGAAAATTTTAATACATTTACATTTACATAATTATTGATAGGTAAAGATTTACTAATTCTATCTTAATTGTTTTCTGGCTCTTTTGTAATTCTACTGTTCCTTTCCTCTTCTCTTGCTGTCTTTCTTCTAGTGAAGTGATCATTTCTGTACTGGTATGTTTTGATTCCTTTCTCTTTATCTTTTGTGTATCTACTTTAAGTTTTTCCTTTGTGGTTACCATGAGGCTTTCATAAACAAAAATATCTTTTAAGCTGATAACAACTTACCTTTGACCACACACAAAACCTCTACCATTTTACACCTCTTCCCATATTTTGTTTTTGATGTCAAAATTTACCTTTTTATATTGTGTACCTATTAAAAAATTATTGTACCTAGTTTTTTTAACACTTTTGTATTTTAACATTTATACTAGGGTTACATAGTTAACATACTACCATATTACAGTATTAGAGTATTCTGAATTTGAGTATATACTTACCTTTACTAGTAGATTTTACATTTTCATATATTTTTATATTACTAATTAGTGGCATTTCATTTCAGCTTGAAGAATTCCTTTCAGTATTTCCTGTAAAGCAGGTCTAGAGTTGATGAACTCCCACAGCTTTTGTTTGTTTGGTAAAGTCTTTATCTCTCCTTCATTTCTGAAAGATGACTTTTCTTTTTTTTTTAACCTTTTTAAAATTTTATTTAAATTCAATTAGCCAACATACAGTATATCATTTGTGTCAGATGTAGTATTCAATCATTCATCAGTTGTGTATAACACCCAGTGCTCATCATATCATGTGCCCTCCTTAATGCCCATCACTCAATTACCCCATTCTCCCACCCACCTCCTCTCCAGCAACCCTCCATCTATTTCTTATAGTTAAGAGTCTCTCATGGTTTTTCTCCCTCTCTGATGACTTCCCATTCATTTTTTCCTCCCTTACCCCATGATCCTCTGCCCTGTTTCTTATATTTCACATGAGTGAAACCATGTGATAATTGTCTTCTCTGATTGACTTATTTTGCATAGCATAATACCCTCCAGTTACATCCATGTCGATGTAAATGGTAGGTATTCATCCTTCTTGATGGCTGAGTAATATTCCATTATATATATAAACCACATCTTTTTTTTATTTAAATTCAATTAGACAACAAATAGTACATCATTAGTTTTAGATGTAGTGCTAGAAAATTCATCAGTTGTGTATAACACCAAATGCTCATCCCATCACATGCCCTCCTTAATGCCCATCCCCCCAGTTGCCCCATCCCCACCCCCACTTCCCCTTCCACAACCCTCAGTTTGTTTTCCAGAGGCAAGAGTCTCTCATGGTTTCTCTCCCTCTCTGATTTACTCCCATTCAGTTTTCCCTTCCTTCCCTTATGATCCTCTGCACTATTTCTTATATTCCACATATAAGTGAAACCATATTACAATTATCTTTCTCTGATTGACTTATTTTACTTAGCATAATTCCCACCAGTTCCATCCACATTGTTATAAATGGTAGGTATTCATCCTTTCTGATGGCTGAGTAATATCCCATTGTATATATGAACCACATCTTTTTTTATTTGTATTTTATTATTTTTATTATGTTCATTTAGCTGAATATATAACATCATTAGCACATCTTCTTACTCCATTT